AAAGCACCACAGAAGACACCCATGGAGACATCACAGAAAAGCTTCAAGAAGAAACCACAAGATCAACAGAAAACATGTAAACCGTAAGGCTAACAAACCAAGTAGAAGACATATTCATAGAAGAAACTCTCGTTCTAGAAAGAATGTTCCAAAAAGAAGAAGAGCTAAAGCTATCAGAAAGTATAGAAAACTCGCTAAGAAACTTTATAAACGTGCCTCAAAATTGTTAAGAAATAGAAGACTTAATAAAAAGAATTATGCTAGAATTCAAAAACAACTTCTCAGAATGTCTGCTATTGCTAGTGGAAAAATGAGTCGAAAGGCTGCAAAGAGATACATCAAGAGAGCTTCTAAAAAGATTCTCAAAATTAAGAGACAAACAAAGAAATCAATTGACCATAAAATGTATAAGAAGAATCAAATCCTTAAATACAAAGTTAAAGAACTTAAACGTGGATTAGACTCAGCTAGACGTGACCTTAAACAAGCAAAGAGAGTAGCTAATAAAGCAAATAAAGAACTTGCCGCAACTAAGAAGAACGTTGTTTTATGTAAGAAAATGACTGTTAAGAAGATTCAACAAGCTATAAAGAAGACTAAAGAACAATTAGCTGCAAGAAAAGTTGCTAAAAAAGCTGCTAAGAAGATGGTAAAAAAATTAAATGGAAGTAAATGTCAAAAAAAAGAAATGAAAATTCTTGTTAAGGCTATGGCTAAAAAACTCAATAAGAAAGATATGAAAAAGATGGTTAATAAAATGACTAAAGTTATTGCTAAAAACAATAAAAAAATTAATGTTACCAAAAAGATTGCTGCTAAAAAGATTGTCAGATTTGGAAATCAAAACTCTGTTCTTGTTAGTAGAATAGTTCGTAATGTTATGAGAAAACTTATGCTCAACTCAAGAATTTAAAAGGAATTTGTTTGGTTTTTAACAAAATTTATGTTTTAATTATTTTATATATTATTTTTATTAAATCGAATGTGGTATGTCATCAGAGTATCACACCGAAACATATTAAATCAAGCCTCGAATCTCCCAGTTATAGTCTGGTTATGACGTTGCATTTGGTCAGAAAAACGTCTTACTCAATACTGCAAGAATACTTGTGACTATTATTTATGATGATGGAATATCATTTATATTAAAATTGTACTTATTTATAAAGGTGATAGTATTATTTACTTGTTAGAATACACGTATATTTGATAATATACATATCAATAAAAAAAGGTCTGGTTGATGCTAAAATTAAAATTAGTCATAGTAATATAGTGATGATAATTCTTCTTAAAAAAGAAAGTAAAGAAGAGGAACTTTAATACATACTAAAATCAAATAATAACTTAAATGAATATATTTAAGTCAGGGATATCTGAAATACTTTATTCTAGAATAAGTAAGGAAATGATTTTCTCACTTTTCAAAAGATGAAACACTAAGAATATTTAATGATCAAACATTCTTAAATCAAAGTGAATAATCTGCACTGAATAAGGAACAATAGAAAATAAAACTATTAACATTTAATTATCTCCTTTATTTAAATATTTTTATTAAATATTATTAAACATCATTAATTAAATAAATTATAGTAATATGAAAGAATAAAATAATGTAAATAATTGTACAATAAAATTAAAAGAAAGAAAATAGATAAAAGAGATATTTATTTAAAATAAAAAAAAATTATTATTATTTTTAATAAAAAAGAAGTAAAATAAAAAAATAAATCACAAAAAATAATTTTTAATAAATATTTCAAATAACATATTTTTTATGTAAGTATTAACAGAAATGATATTATATTTCACAATCCAGCCATTTTTTTTAATTTTTCCATTTTTCTAATTTTAAGTCCATTTTCTATTGCATCTGATTCAGTTTTAGCTGTAAGGAGATCAGCAATACTTCCAATAGACTCTCTTCTTCCAAGTATTTTTGTTATTTTTTCCATTTTTTCTTTTGGTGGTTTATTTGTTCCATGAGTAACTCTTGCTCCTTTAATACTTTCACTATTAATACAAGATATATCACCAGGTAAAGCACGTTCTCCAAGTTTTTGTTTTAAAACATCACTACTAAAAACCATTTTAGCATTTCTTTTTGCTTCTTCTGGAGAATTAGCATAAAGAAAAGGTGAAATTTTTTCTAAACTATTTCTTCTTCCAGTTATACGTGCAAGTTTGTCTTTTCTTTTATCAGTTAGTTGTTTTGTATTTACCCATTCTTCAGTATCTTTTAGAACTTTTTCTTCTTGAACGTTTTTACTATCAAGACTTTGTATTATTCTATTTTGGTCTTTGTTAATATGGTCATTATTTGTACTCTCTTCTTGTGGTAAAATAACTTCATCAAAAAATGAAGAACCTTGTGAATCATATAATAAAAAATCTGTAGAAGAAGAATCATTCCCCCAACCATGTAATGCATATTCTTCTGAAATACCTGCTGAATCTGTTTTTGTAGGTGTTGGATTATAAAGAATCCCTTCAATACTTGACTCATAAGAGTCTTCAGTAGAAGTAAGTGGTAAATCAATTGACATATAAAAATAAAGAACTAAGTTCTATTGATTTGGTCTGGAACTTACCTTGAATTTAGTTATTAACGCTAAAAAGTATATTTTAACCATTTTTTGTTAAGTCATAATATTAAAATTTAAAAAAGTTCCCATTTTAGGACAATTGGAAGTTTATTGGTTAATAACTATTTTTTAATTAAATAAAAGAAGTTATTATTTTTTACTTCAATGCTTTCACAAAAACTAATTTATTTTTAAATTAATTATTGGGTGGTTAATTGTAATTCAATTCAAAAATTATGTATTAATACTTTTTAAAAAAGTTAAATAACAAAAAATACTAACTAATACTATGTTAATATTAACTGAAAATTATGTAATTTATTTTCTTATTTTATTATTATTAGTTAAATTTTTTTACTAAAATTTATTTTTAAATATCTTTTTATTATTTTTCTTTTTTATTTTTTTCTTTTTAATATATTAAATTATAAATAGAAAGTTTAGTGAGTTTTAATTTTTTGTGATATTTATATTTATTCTTACAACACGATCAAAATCTAATTATAAATTAAATCTTTTTTTACAAGAAAATTTATAAAAACAAAATTTATTAAATTTAATTCAAAAAATATATTAAAACTTTAATAAAAAGATTTTATGAAAACTAACTTGAATATTATTTACTTCAGTTAATCAGATAGAATAAATTATACAAAAACCTTATTTCAAAAATAAGAATTACTATTTCATTATTTCTTGAAAAGTACTCTTAACAATGGAAAGAAATTAAAAATTTGTTGAGTAAATAAGAAAGATAATTTGTAAGTTTAGTAGAATAATAATGTTATTAACTGATAAAGTCTTGTCTGAAGAATAGGATTCTCTTCATCTAATTTCTTTTTTTTTTCTCCTTAAATGAGTTATTCAACAATAGTTTTTGAGTAATAAAGTATAAAAGAAATAATCAGAGAAAAAGTCAGTTTTCAAGTAGTTAATTATAAGATTTACTGTTAAACAGATAATTAAAAAAAGTAATTGCTGTTGTATTAAAAATGAAAAATGTAGTGTTATATATTTAAACTAAATTTTTTGTTTTATTCCATTTTCTTAAAATACTAAAAAAACTTTCAAGTTGATTTTTTGATAGAAGAGTTAAAAGAGGAAGAAATTGAAACTATCAAAATGATATAATGGTTTTAGTGGATTATGACAAGTAATATTTGCCATAGGAAATGGATAAAAAGTGATGTGAATAAAAGAAAGTCAGACCAATACCAATAAGAAGGGGGTGATTGTTTTAAGGTAATATTTGGTTTTGGATGTATTCTTTTTCTTGGAATAACAGTTTAATTGATTCTTGTTTTTAATTCACCAGCAATAATTGTAAATTAAATTTGAATTCATAGAGAAGAAATTGGACTTACTAAAAAATAAATCAAAATTCCATAAAAATCTTCATATATCAGTTACTTATAAAGATTCAAACTAAGAAATAATATAGAAGTAATAATAAAAATAATATTTTGAATTATTTGGTCTTAATTACTCCTTATAATATGGTGTTTGTTAAAATAATATAAAAAAAGGAAATGTACATTTATTTAAATGGGTTATACAACAAATTATGTAGAATGATTTAAAATAAAAATAATAATATATGAAATATGAAATAAACACTTTTCTTGTTATCAGTTATAAAAAGTTATTAATATAAAAAATAATTATTTCACAGAGTTTGATGAAAAACAATTATGTAAACTAAATTTTAAATAAAATTAAGTTGTTTCAGATTAGAATAATTTTTTTTGAAGTTGTTATTTTATCAAGTAAATGATTTTTATGAATTATAAATATTTTATTTTTAATATTGGTTTCTATCTCTGGTTAAAAATATTATTCTTGCTTAACAAATAATAAAATTATCTTAACTATCATTGTAAAAGATTAAAAGTAAGAGAGTTTCAATCTCTTATAATTAAATTTATAGGTAATAAAATTAAATAAAATTCTATGATTTTGTATTAAGGCATTTGAATTTAATTAACTCATTATCTTTTAAATTGTCAAATGAATAATAGTAAGAAAAGAAGTTATTATAATACAATAACAGAATTTTAATTTAGTAGAATTGTTATATATTAAAAATGACCTAACCCTTATTATTTTTTTATTCAAGTTAAAATTACTTTGAGTTGTTCAAAAAAGAAACTACAAACAAGAAAAATCTAATGGCTAGTATTTTCCCTGTGAGACATGTTGTTGGAGGTAATACTATGGTAGAAAAAACATTGATTATGACACCAGAAGTATTGACTATTATTGAAGACAATGGAAAAACAAAGACAGAGATTCAATATGTTGATATTACGAATTGTATAATGATTGACAGTAGCTCTATTGGAATGAAAGTAAAAGAAAAGACCTATTTTATGTTTACTAATGAGGCATCACGTTTTGTCGAAGTATTAACATCATATAAACACTAATAATAAAAATAATTGATACAATTCTAGTCTATTTATTTTTTTTAAAAGAAAAATCTATAAAATAATTAAATAAAATGAGTTATGAAGGAGAAGGTATGAGTAATCTTTTTTATATAAATGATTACAAAATAATGAT